GAGGTGTCCATGGGAAGCCCCATGTAGAGGGCTGGCCCATCCCAATGGCATATGGATTGGGAGCTGCACACCATCAGGAAGCTACACACAGAGAGGCATGGAGCACCATCGAGTGCCTGCATGCCTCCATGTGTGGCTTCCTCCTGGAGTGCTCCAGCATAAGCTCTGTGCTGGTGGCAACTGCACACGCACCTTGGGGCAGACAGCAGGGCAGCACAGCCCACTCTGTGCTGCATGCTCAGTCACCGCCAGCACGAAGCTGATGTTGGAGCTGTGGAGCCCAGTGCAGCTGTTTGCAGCCTGCCCACTGCTTGCTGCAGCTGCCCAGAGCTTGGGCTGGCTACAAACAGCTGTGCTGAACTCCAGAGCCCTGCCATCATCTCTGTGCCAGGAGCGGGGGAGAGACCAGGGTTGCACTACCTCAGGCCCATCCACCACTGCCCGCTCCTGGCACAGCTGTTTGGAGCCTCCTGGCTGCAGCTGGCCCCGGATTTGGGTAACTGCTGCCAGCTGGGAGCCCAGGCTGGGGGGCAGGGGGCAGCAGGGCAACCTGCCATGTACCCTCTGCCCTTATTTTGTTTTTCTGGCATGCCAGCACTCCGGCACCTTCCAAGGTAGGCATTGTGGGGGTTTTCAGCACTCTGACCAAAAAACGTTGCCTGTCCCTGGTCTAGATGGTGAAACTTGCTAGCTGCGATTTTAAGTCTTCTCTCGCTACTATTTAGTAAGTACAGACTTTGACATGAGAAAGCTTGCTTTTAGTCAGTAACAATGTGATAGTTCTACCTCTTCATTAAAGCTAAGACACAGTATAATTACTTTTCACAGGTCTGTGTTTTGGAGAGAAGTGTGTAAAGTTTACTTTTGGTTGGAACACTCTTATGTGTCAGCAACCATTTGGATAGATCTCTCAGGGATAAATGATACAAAGTAGGATTGTGCATCTCTGACCACCAGAGGGCAGTAAAATACTGTCCTTTAAGCATCGCCAGGTCACTCACAGTAAGTCATAATGCAGCTTTTGAAGCTTAACCAAATGCTTACATACCAGCAGCAGTTATTACCAAGCATCATTTTCCAGTCATTTACAGGACACTTAGAGTTATGCCCAGGGCATTATAACACTGTCATATAAATATCTGTATCTGAATATTAGAAATTGAATATCAAACACTAATTTTTGACTGTGAATCATTTTTTCCCCACTGAAAAGTTCAACAAATGTGGTTTTCCAAAATGTGTTTCTCTGCTATGCCATTTCAAAGACAACAAAGATGGACTCTACTTAAAATATGAATGTTTATCAATATCTGAGGCTTTAATATTACAAACCTGAAGGAACTGAAAAATAGTTCACTTTTCATTTAATTTTTATTTAATTTGATACTAGCTAAGAGCCTTTTGTACAGGCAATTTGCACTGGTAAAAATAACACTTTTTCTGAGCCTTACTACTAGATCTGTGGTTAGACAAGGCACTTGAGCTGAAACCTCTTCAGCTTAAAAGTAAAGAGGCAGCTGGGAGGGCATTCTTGCTAAGGGGACCTATAACTTTGGAACTCCCTCCTGCACTGCATAGGTCAGAAATAGCCTGAATTTGCTGACCTTGCACTAGGAAAATGCTGCAGATCCTGCCCATCCATAGAGGATGATTTTTAGTCAGATTATTTTGATTTGTTATTGCCTATTATGGCTGGCTAGAATGCAGATGGAAAAGCTGGAGTTTCAGGAAGGCGGTGGCTCTAACATCTGTATTTTTAATTATGACAAGAGCACCCAGAAAAGTGAATGGAAGCTTTTTTCATTTATTTTATTAGAAATCAGAATAAATGAATACACACATGACAACTTGCTAATAAAACATTACCAACACTATTACACAGTGCTCTGGTAATAATATTTGTAATACTGTTGTTTGTATTAAACAACAAACTGGCCAGACAAACTGCAAGCAATAAAGGGAAAGGGTTAATAGACATAATTAAAGGGTGGACTGTTATATGTTCTCTATTAATTATATTACTGCAGAATAAACAAAACACTGAAAGCCTAATATAATAAAGGGCTGAGTTAAAGTAAAAAAAAAAAATTATGTCAATAAAAGTTACCATCAGCAACAACAGAGAAAACTATTCTTTAAAAAAAGTTGTATCTTCATGAATTACTCTTTCCTGAGAAATGCTGCCATAGCACATTTCATCTTTCTACCAGAGTATCATAAGGACAAACAATATTTTCATCAAGCCATTATATTTTTCCATAATTTTTCATTAATATTTCTGAACCTTAATAAGGAACCACCAGTATGTCTCAACTTGAATATATTCCTAAATAAGTTAGATGTCTATAGCATAACTTTCAAAATTGTAGAAGAATGTTACTCCTTCTGAAATTCATTTCTGTAAAAAGCATATTTCACTTTCCAGCCAGACTCCAAAAACAAAAGAGAATAAAACTTTTCATCATTAAAAGAAAAATCTTTGATGAACTGAAAAATCTTATTTTTTAAAGTTTCTTCAAACAAAATGCCATGTTTTTTTCCTGTACTATTTTATTTTTCAAAGATTTTTGTTTAAAACCAATTTTGTTTCAATGGCCTTTTTTAATTTATTCAAGATGCTGTCACACATACACATATATAAATGTAAATGTGTTTATATTGAAAAGTCCTGTTTTTGTATCATATTAGCATTTCAAAACCTTCTCTGAAATTAGAGGAATAATGAATAAGCATTCAACTCAATGTTTACTTTTTTGAAGAATGTAAGGAAATATATTTTTGTAGCAAGAAACTTGCTGTGCACTGCAACATTTCATTAATTTAAATATTTTATAAATGATTAACTTATAATTTCATCTTGTACTATATTAATGTTAATTAACCAATTTTTAGAATTATCAAGGTGAAATAAATGAGCCATATCATGAACTCCAAGGTAAACCTCTTATCTACTTAAAAAAAGAACATTTTTAAATAAAATTTTGTTTAACAACATATTTCAAGTGAAAATATCTTTTGTATATTGGAGTGAACTCAAACTTCTAGATGTGCTAAGAAAGGAGTAGTCTTACCTTTTATTTCTAACAGAACAAGAAGATGGAGTAGAAATCGCATTTCAGGCAGTCTGAAGTTAATAAGATTGAGAGAGAAGCAACAGTATGTTTACGACAATTGAGTTATACTTATGCTCTGGACACCTTAGAAACTGCTCTCATAAAGCAACCTCCAGTGCAGTCACGTATGTTACTGAGCATGCTCACAGCCTGCTACTGAGAAACACTGAGGAAGAAGTCTCTTGTCACCCAGAAGGTTGGTACAGTTATTTAAACCATATTGACAGTTTAATCTGGCTGCTTGATTATTATGGACTGAGCCCAAGAAAGATGGCAAATTATTTTAGTTTTACTCGATATTTTCCTTTTCCTTCTTCTTCCCCAGGGAGGGGTAAGGTTTTTATTTAAACGCGTCAATGTGATAAATACAATAAATCTGTAAGAAGGTTTGCTATTACTACATGGTGATTGGATTGGTGTCGTTTTGTATTTAGGTCTCAAAATACGGGCCTGATTCTGCAAACACTTCAGCTCAGAAATAAAGATTATGTACAGTTATCCCAGTGACTTCAATGACACGGTAATCTTACAAAGTGGGGGATCCAAAAGGGTTGGTCTCAAAGGAGAATCATTAGATTTTTGGCTTACGTATCATTCTAGCAAATCAGCTTTTTGCTATTGAAACACCCCAAATGTCAAGTCTGGGGGATTTGTTTTAACTATTCCTCCAGATGAAAATCCAAGCCAGGCCTTTCCCTTACCTCCAACTCTGTTTCAAATTGCACCAGTTGACCATATTGCTATGTTATCAGTTGGTCACTTGTATAATGTTTACAAAATTAAGCTAACATGTTTGACAACAGCTCTGTGTCTATTCTCAGCAGTGTTATATGAACACATTTTGATTTAAACGAGAAAACAAGTAAGTAAAGTCCCTAAAGCTCACTTTATTTCTCGGTAAATATATGCTTCCCTCTCACCCACTCCCCAGCATTATAACTATCATAGGCTAAAGAAGGAGAGGAATTTTTATGAAAAACTTGTTACCTTGTGAAAGCAACTCACTTCTGCAGTCTAAAGGTGTACCAGAATACATGGAACTGGCTTAATGAATACAGATATCTTCAGAAATCCAGGGCCTTGAAAAATGCTAAAAGCATCAGTAGCTCAGCTAGTGAGATGCAAGGAATCTGAACTTGGAACACAGTGGGTGAACCAAATGGATTACAGTTGGCTTCTGCTTGAGTCAAGCAATGATTAAAACTAAAATATATACTTTTCCAGCAAGGTATTTAACATCTCTTAACATGAATGATGTGCTGTCCATTCCTAGTTTGCCATGCTTTGTGCTCTCTAAACTTTAAGACCTCTTTAAATTTCAGCTCAATTCAGAACAAAGGGAACAGCATAAGGCAGGGCTGTCATAGTGTCATAGTTTCATAGTTTCTAGGGTCGGAAGGGACCTGAGAAGATCATCTAGTCCGGCCCCCTGCCATGGCAGGAAAGAGTACTGGGGTCAAACGACCCCAGCAAGGTGTTCAT